ACAAGTCCACATGAGTCCAGTCCATCCGCCCCCAAGCAGCCAAAGTGATCTTCCCAGAGCACAGGTCCCATCACTGTCACTCCCCTGCTCAGTCGGCTCCAGTCCGTCTCCCTCTTGTCTCCAGGAGCAAATACAGAGGTTCTGCTTGACTTCCAAAGCCCTTCACAATTAGGCACCAGCCTCTTCCTACAGCCATCTCACATTCTTCCCCCTCCCAAGTTTTATGCCCCATCTCCAACCATCCTTCCCTTTGCCTCTTGGAATCCCTAGATTCCTTAAAGGCTCAGCTCTTCCCCCACTCCATGAAATGATCCTGTATATGTATGGGGGTGGGGTGCCCAGCGGAGACTTTAGCCAGCGAAGCTCAGAAGGGAGCAAAGGTAGAGACGTTGAAATGGAATTAAGGTCAAGGTCAGGGACGTATCCTGGAGCCGCGATAGAAGTGGGCCCACCCAGCCAGTAAGCTTTGCTTTATCCTCACCTTGGGCTTGGATGGCTATGCTGTCTGTCTACATGAGAAAAGGCCTTCCATAAACTTGACCTCCAGGGCTCAGCTTCAAGCACCTAGCTCCCAAGGACTCTAGTTGTAGTTTCTCCTTATTGTCTTTTTTAATGTTTGTTTTGGGGTGGGTTTTTGGTTTGGGGTTTGTTTGTTTTTTGAGGCAATCAGGGTGAAGTGACTTGCCCAGGGTCACACAGCTGTAAGTGTCTGAGGCTGGATTTGAACTCAGTTCCTCCTGACTCCGGGGCCAGTGTTCTATTCACTGGGCCACCTAGCTGCCCCCTTCCTTATTGTCAATGGCGACTCTACTCACTCACAGGCTAAGCAGAGACACCACTCCTCTGTACTCCTGGGCTCATTCCGGAGCAACTCAGAGGTGCCAGCCAGGTGCCAGAACCTAGCTCTGGCCAGTTCGGGCTTTTAGAACCCCGTTGTTCCCTGGCCTCACTGCCAGGCAGACAGCCCACACGATGGAGCACCTTACATGGCCAGAGGACCCAATCTCAGGCCAGGCCCCAGGAGACTCTCCCTCATAGAAATGGGCTGAGCTGATGGCCCAGAATACTGTCCCCGAGAGATCTTAGAGATATTCTCTTTTGGGGAAACACTCTCATTTTATATAGGCCCAGACAGGAGAAGAGACTCAAGGTCACAGAATCTTAGAGAGAGAAAGGACCTTAGAAAGCAAATATATTTTGCAGATTAGGAAACTGAGTCACTTATAAGTTAAATGACTTGTCCAAAGTCACACAGATAATAAGGGGCAGAGTTTGAACCTAGGCCTCATGACCTTAAAGCTAGTGCTCTTACCACTGAGAGAAATGATTATTTCTCTCTTACATTAATAACCAATTATTGAATTAGGACTAAGGTCCCTCCCCCCCCTTTCTATTTCCTCTTTTCTTATTGGGCCATCATCTGAAGGACATTGCTGATAACGAGATTGGATTTAACATTCTCCTCAACCTTATTCAGACCCCGCCCAACTGGGCAAGTTTAGAGCTGATCAAAAGGTCCAGAGAGTTGAGTCTGGGTGAATTCCAGCCCACTGGGTTCTACTCAGGCTTTGTCTAGATGGGCCCAGGCTGGGTGGGGGAGGAGGGGTGGGGTTCCGAGAGTGAGAATGACCTCATCAAAGGCTCATCCTCCAGCTCCACCTTCATTAGAATATTCATACTTCTCATTAACTGTTAATCAATCAGAGGTGATTGCTGGTGGTCAGGAACACTCACTCTTCCAAGGGCATATAGGTTTCATCTTTGGTTCATGAGAGAAGGCCAAATGACCATCCTTTTATTAATTACTCACGTCATAATTAAGAAAAATGCCGACTTCCCCAGAAATGATGTCTCTCCAACTTTTGATATGTCACACCACTGCACCATCATTTTGCAGAGGAAGAAACTGAGGTCAGGAGAGCTAAGAGTTGGAATCACCTTAGGCATCACCTTAGCCTCCCTCCCCAGCCCTCAGTCAGTCACTCTACAGAGGACAAAAGGGAAAAAGGAAAGGACTGAGGAGTGTGGAATGGCTGAGGTCCCCTCACTTCACAGAAGACAAAGCTGGGGCCTAGGGAGGGCAATGAGCGTCCCAGTCTAAATTCAAATCCTTCTTGTTCATCTCTGACTCCCCCACAGTGGATATTCAATAAGTGGTGACTTTGGAAAATCGTTTTTATTGAGATCTTTTGTTTCACCTCACCAGAGTTTCTCCCGGTATTCCCCCACTCCCAGAGAACTATCCCATATAACAAATAATATGTTTTAAAGAAAAAGAAGCAAAACCAATCAATATATCAAAACCATCTGACGATGTAGGCAATGCTGCATACCCATGGACCGCCACCCCATCCCCCCCACCCCACCCCTTCTCCTGTATCTTCCTCACGTGCTCATCCTTTATCACTTTGGGTTGTTTTGTGCTTGTCCTTTCCGCTGAAGTTGTCCTAGTCATTGTGTACATTGTCTTCTGGCCTCTGCTTCCTTCCCTCTGCATCAGTTCGTGTAAGTCTCCTCACGTTTCTCTGTGTTCCTCACCCACATCCTTTCTTACAGCCCAGTAAAATTCTGCGAATCACGTACCCCCATTTGTTTAGCCATGCCCCAGTAGGCGGGCATCTACTTTTTTTCCAAATTTTTGCTATCACATAAAGTGCTGCTATAAATATTTTGGAGTAGGCGAGAACTTTCTACTTATCTATGGATCCTTGGGGGATAATCTCAGGGTCCAAAACGGACACTTTCTAGTCACTTGACTTACATAATTCCAAATTCCTTTCCAGAATGGTTGTGCTGAGTCACAGCTCCGCCACCAAGGCGCTAGTGTGCCTATGTTCTTACAACCCCTTCCACATTGACTATTCCCATCTTTTGACATCTTTGCCAGTTTGCTAGGTATGACGTGAAACCCCTGCGGTGCCTCAGCCTGCATTTCAGAGTGTTTATATGTGTGTCTTTGCTTCCCTTACCAATCCCAGGAAGTTCAGGGACTATTCTGCAGTGGGGGCCTAGAGATTCAAGAAGCAAGTAGACTGGGTCCCTGAACTTCCTGGGATTCGTAAGGGAAGAAAAGACACACATATAAACACTCTGAATACAAACCTCCGGCAGGCGGGCTTGTGGGGATCCAACCGTTTCGAGCTAAAAAAAGCCCTCAGAGATCTAGTCCAACCCAATGGTTTTGTTAATGAGGAAACCTAGGAAGTCTAGAAGGAAAGGGGCAAAGCCGGGATGCTGCTTGGGGTCCTCCAACTCCCGATCCCAAACTCTTCCTGGCTGCACTCTCTCCTGTTCCCCAATGTGTTTCCCCAGGTTGGTGACAGGCCTCAGAGGAATCTTCCTAAAGAGGCCACAACTTGCAACCAAAAGATCTCTGAATCCTGCTTCCAGCCCTCCCTAGCTGTGTGACCGTGGCCACGTCCCTTCTCCCTCAGTTTCCTCACTCGTAAGCGGAGAAGAATGATAATAGCCTCAGCACAGAGCACTGGACAGAGTCCTGGGAGCCAGAGAGGTCACTTGAGGGTTGGACTAAGTGGTATCCAACTAAGGCCCCTTCCAATTCTAAATACGATCCTATGATCCCTCATCAGCACCCACAAGCTCTCCTTTGAGCACCATTTGCCACCCCTGGGCCAGAGCACTGGAGAACACCAGGGTCAATTTTTTGATTTGACAGTGAGGGAAATTGAGGCTCAGAAAGGGTGTGGATTTATCCAGGGTCCCAGAGTCAGATCCAGGTCCCATGACTCCAAACTCAATGCCTGAGGATGGCTCGTGCCCATCCCTGGGTCCTTCCTCCTCACTAGCAGCCTCTGTATTGGTGAGGGATGAAAAGTAAAGGGAAAGAGGAGTGGGGAGAAGGAAGGGCTGAGGGAGAGAGGAATGAAAAGGAGGAAGGAGAGATGGGCGAACAAACTGGGACTTCCCCATATCGAGGCCATACCCTTTATTGCGCTCTCCACAGCAGGCGTTGAAGACCTTGTCTTCTCTCCTCAGGCCTGGCGCCCTCTCACTAAGGACCTTTAACCTCCCTACTCTCTTGAGGAAATAGAGGCCATTCGAGATCCCTCCTCTCCCCCATGCTACATGGCACAAGCTCTTGACATCACCCCCCCACCCCAGCAGCCATTGGCTCCTCCTTTCCTCTGGGTTTTAGGTTCTAGGGAAGGGATGGGATGGTCATCCCACTTGGGCCTTTGCTCCTGCACTCTTCCATCCCTTCAGGAAGCTTGCCTAATTGTGTCTCTGTTTTCCTTCATTTTCAACCTAACTCCGGCTACTGGCACTTTCCCTGCTGCCCTCACAAAAATCTCACTAGACCTTCCCACCCCCACAAACTCTCATTCTCCACTGAGCCTCCTTTAACGAGAAACAGTGAGGAAGGCCTTGACTCTCATTTCCTCTCCTGTCACTCACTTGCCGAGCTCTTGGGATCCACTCTCCCGTCCTACCACCTGAATCAGTCTCCCGAGTTGGCAGGCAGCTCTTCAGGACCAATCCTCATCCTGGCCATCGTAGCCAACCCTGTCTCCTGGTCCTTCCTGCTCCATCCGAAAGCTCCTCCAATCAGCATCGCCAAATACCGGTCATTTCCAACTGTCTCTTGTAAGCAGCGCCAAAGGCAGCCTTGCCCTGAGCTACCTCCTACGCAATGCTTCCTCCACAAAGTGCCATTTTGGACTATCACAGTTCTCCTAACATATGCACCGGATGTCCCCCTCCCCGCCCCCCCCAGAGCAGGGAGAGAGGGTTCTGCCTTTGTCTCCAGATTCCTGGTCCCCAGTGCATCGTGGGGGTTAATAGATGCTATTTGACTGATTGAGTGTGGGTGTGCAGACTTTCCTTAGTAAGCCATTGCCTGTGGCCCAAGCCTGGGAGTGATGTGCCATTGCTCCTCCCTGCCCCACCCCACCCCTTCACATGCACAACACATGCACAGAGACGCACACGGACACACACACTCTGCCCCTCTTCAGCGCCACTCCCCTCAAAAGTCAGACTTTCAGCTGAGAGACCTCAGTTTATTGGGGGTGAGGCTTAGCAAGCCTCGGTTCTCTGGGGCCTCTTCCCGTCCTCCCTCCCCCAGGATGCTGGGTCAGCCTCCCTTTGCCAGGGGGTCCGTGCAGGGTGGAGGGTGCAGGCAGGCCTTCTTCTCCTCCACCTTCCCCCTTTGGCCCTGCAGCTCGGAGCAGCGGGGTCTGGGGCTTCCCCAGAATGTCACGTTCTTCTTTCCCTGGCCTTCCACCATGGTCACCGTGGGCCTAGATCAGATATGGACAGTGGTTTGGAGCCCCCTAATCTCTATCAGCCTGAGCCCTAACTGTCCTTCCCCACTAGGGGTCATGGGCCCATGCCAGCTGGCCAGCATAGTGAGGCTCCTAGACAGGCCCCAGCTTCTTGGCCCTGTTGCCCCAAGAAGGCCCCTCACCCTACCCTCTCCTTCTTGAGCCCTGAGTTCCTCCAGGAGGACTCCTTCCTCCTTCTTGAGGTAGGTCCCCCACTCACGGGTAAGCAGGCAACTTGGCAGTGCAGTGACGCTGTCGGGAGCGGGTGGGAGACGGCCCACAGGGGGGAGTGCAGAGACCCCAGGGTCCCCAGGCTGCCCAGTAGCCATCCACTGAGGGAGAAAAAGGAGAACAGGGCACGATCAGAACCTTGTGAGATAAGCCCGCCCAGCCCATCCAGGAAGGGGGCACTTACAGGGGCACAGGTGGATGTTGTAACAATGACGAGTCTCCTGGAAGCGGCCTGTGCAACGCCGGCCATTGTGGAGCCGGCCCTCACACACTCGAGAGCGCTGCTGCTGGCCTGGCTTATCCTGACACGCGATGCTAGAGATTGCGAGCCGGGTACAAGTCTCCCAGGCCCCCCAGGGACCCCAGTGACCATCAACTGGGCAAGGCTGGTCTGTGATGCATAGGCCATCGCGGGTTTCATCTCCAGCACAGGGCGCACCTCCATGCTGAGGTGGGGGGCTGTTGCACAGACGCTGTTCCCGGGTCCGACCCAGGCCACAGGTCACTGAGCAAGGGCTAGTAGGCCTCCAGGGGCCCCAGCCACCCGCCACTGTAGAGATAGGAGCAGAGAGGATAAGCCTAGACCCAGGGAGAAGGGGCAAGGGTGGGGGCACGGGAGGGAGAGAATGATGGAAAACAGGAGAAAATGATGGAAAAGAGGGGTGTGGGAAGGAAGGGAAGCTGGACCCAACCCTGAAGGACCCCAGTTCCCTTCAGTACATACCAGGGCATGGTGGGAGGCCTTTACAGCTGCGCTGCTCATGGGCCTGGCCAGAACAGGGGTTCCCTGGGGGCTGGACTGAGGGGGCTGGAGAAGAGCACGTTCTGGTTCTGTGTTGGGCAGGGGCCTGGGGTCCTCCGTGACAGGAGGAGGAGCAGGATCCCCAAGGCCCCCAGGCTGCCCAGGCCCCATGTACTGAAACAGAAAGGAATGTGTCATGTACAGCCTGTCCTTCCCAGGCACGTGTCTAGGACTGGGCAGGGCAGGGCACTCACTGGGACAGAGGGTCTCTGTATCACATGGCTTGGTCTCAGTTTCCCCACCAGAGCAGCTGCCCCCGCACTTTGGGACTGGCTGGTCACAGGCCCTTCTGCGGCTCCGGAGACCCTGGGCGCAAGTCACGGAGCATGCAGTCCACGGTCCCCAGTCAGACCAACCACCAGCCTCTGAGGGACAGACAAGACAAGGGATCTGGGATCAGAAGCCAGGCTCCATCTCCCTATCCCTTCCCACCAGCGGCTACCCTGGGCCTCACTCACCTGGGCAACAGTCCTGGTCCTGACATGCCTGTAGCTCCCAACGAAGGCTCCCAGGCCGCCCCTCCCCAGGGCACTGGTCTCCCTGGCCCAGGCAGCGTTGATGACGCAGCTGGGAACCCTCTGTGCAGGACATCGAACACGGGGACCAGGCAGACCAAGGGGACCAGCGAGGGGCCCTGGGGTGTGAAGGTGAGGTCACTGGGGTGGCTGGGCCATCTGCATTTCTAGCTCTGCCGTCTGGTTCTCTCTTCACAGCTGTGCCCAGGTGCGCTGCTCTGCTCCTCTTCCCTCCCTTTCCTTTCCCCTCCCTCCCCCCTGCACTGCCCAGATGCTCCCACCAAGAAGCTGGTGGAATCCTGGCCCAGACACCCCCTCACCCGCAAGCCTGGCAGGTTGGGCTCCCTGGGATCTGGAAGCCGTGGGCAGCATTGAGGCAGCAGGCATCCTTGCTGACACCCTCGCCCAGGAGCCCTTGGCATTGGCTGGAAGCCTCCTCAAAGTTGGAGAAGCAACGCACAGACTCCCCGCCTACACCAAAGAACATAGCACACGTGTCACCTGCATTGCGGCGAGCTGGGGAGACTGGGCTAAAAGGGGGCCAGCAATGCAGTGCCAATCAGGGGGGAGGCTGGGAGGGAATGTGGGCAGAGAGGAAGAAGCAACAGACAGGGGCTATGCCAGGGACAGGTTACCTGCCCCGTGGGACGAGAGGAGGACGACGAGGGGGAGGAGAAGCTGAAGCAGTGTGGGGAGCCGTGGACAGATGCGGCTGAAGGCCATGGCGACCAGTTGGAAGAGAAGGAGGGAGGTCCCGGGTTTTAAAGCTCGGCCTCCATCCCCTTTGCCCCCATCTCTGGGTCAGCCCCCTGACTCAGCAGAGAAAGAGGAAGTCGGGTCTCAAGGAGGAAGGAACTAGAGGAAGAAGGCTAGAATGGGCCCTTTCCCCAATGGGGCCCTGAGCTTCTGCCCAGCCCTGGCCCACTCTCGGTGCTCTCTCTATGTTCTATCCGTCTCTCTGTCTCCCTTCTCTCTTGCCGGGATGGCAGCCGCGCTGACTGCCTCCTTCAGGCTTCCTCCCACAAGGTCAGCCTGTTTGAAAGGTTCCCAAGAGTGACCAGGTCAACAGCCTCAGCCACAAGGGAAGTGTTCCGGGGGATGGGAAAAGGGAGAAGTTGGGAAAGGGTCCCCCAGAGCCCTGAGCAGACCCTCCCCTTCAGCCCCTCTAGCCCCATGTTTCTCCCCATAAAAGCTGGGCTCAAGGGCTCAGGCCAGAGCCACAAATCAATTCCAGAAACATTTGTGAAATGCCAATAGGGGTGAGGCCCTGCTCGAGGGTCTGAGGGGGTTACCAAAACAAGACCACGAGTCTACCGCATCAATTCGGGTTCAGCTGAGGGGGCCTGAGAACACCAGCAAGTGAAGAGGTCAAGGAATGTTTCCCAGGGGAACTGAACTGAACCTTGTAGCGAGAGAAAGCTTTATGAAGTCAGAGCTGAGGAGAAGAGGCACACCTGGCCAAGGGTGGGGGGATGCGAGAGGAACCATCAAGTCAGCTGGCCAGCCGTGAAGAGGAGGAAAGCAACATAAAACACGAAAGAATGTTGGATGGAGGGCCTGAGAAACCAGGCTGAGACGTTTACAGTTGATCCCAGAGACAGTCCTGGGCCTTCAGGAAATTCTTTTGGGAACTGGATGGAGGACAGATTGGAAAGGAGATCAATTGAGAGGCTATTAGAAAAGACACCAGTGGAGAGAAGGGGATGGTCTCTTTGGGACCTGTTGAGACTGAGATGCAGATGAGTCAACTTAGTGAGGTCCAGCAGGCCTGGAGCTCAAGAAAGAGAATGAGGGTTAGGGTTTGAAAGGTTTGTGAGTCATCTGTAAAGGGGAGATGGAGTCTATGGCGGTGGGAGCGACGAGAGAACACGAGCCAGTACAGAGCAGCACCAACCGAAGTCCAGAGAGAAAAGGGGAATGAGGCAGAAGGGGCCACTGGACTGTCTCACTGGGGTGTCGGCTCAGAAGTCACAAGGCAAAGAATGGAGGAGCTGGGGAAGCATAAGCAGTGACTATACAAGACTTTCCCTAGGACTGTAGCTGGGAAAGAGAAGAGGCATGGGATAGTAGCTCGAGGGGATGGAAGGGTCAAGTGAAGCTCGCTTTTGTTTCAACTCTGGGGGGGACTTGGAGTCTTGGGAGGCTCCAGGAGGCACAGGGAGCCAAGATCAGAGACAGGGAGAGGCATGGCACGCTGGAGGAAGAGGGAAAAGCAGCAGCTGAAGAAGCCGGAGGCCTCATAGAGAATTCAGTCAAACTTATAAGAATACAAGTCATTCCCCAATTGATAAATGATCAAAGGATATGAGTAGGCAGTTTTGAGATGAAGAAATTAAAGCCATCTATAGTCATATGAAAAAATGCTCTAAATCACTTGATTGGAGAAATGCAAATCAAAACAACCCTGAGGTACCCCATCACACCTATCAGATTGGCCAACATGACAAAACAGGAAAATGAAAAATGCTGGAGAAGATGGGGGAAAATTGGAACACTAATGCATTGTTGGTGGAGTTGTGAAATGATCCAACCATTCTGGATAGCAATTCGGAACTATACCCAAAGGGCCATAAAAACGTGCACAGCCTTTGACCCAGCAATAGCACTTCTAGGGCTGTATCCCAAGGAGATCATACAAATGGGAAAAGGACCCTCATGTACAAAAACATTTATAGCAGCTCTTTCTGTGGTGGCCAAGAACTGGACATTGAGGGGCTGCCCACCAATGGGGGAATGGCTGAACAAGTTGTGGTATATGAATGTAACGGGACACTATTGTGCTATAAGAAATGATGAGCAGGCTGACTTCAGAAAAACCTGGAAAGACTTGTATGGTCTGATGCTGAGTGAAGTGAGCAGAACCAAGAGAACTTTGTACACAGTAACAGCCACGTTGTATGATGACCGATGACTAACTTTGATAGACTTAACTCTTCTCCGCAATGCATGGATCTAAGACATCTCCAAAAGTCTCATGCTGGAAAATGCTGTCCACATCGAAGGAAAGAACTATGGAGTTTGAATGCAGATCAAAGCAGACTATTTGCTCTTTTTTTTCCTTCTGTTTTGTTTTGTTTCTTCTTTCTTGTGGTTCCTCCTATCGGTTCTAATTCTTCTTTACAACATGACTAACGTGAAAATGTGTTTAATAGGAATGTATATGTAGAGCCTATATCAGATTGTGCACCATCTTGGGGAGAGAGGTGGGGAGGAAGGGGGAGAAAAATTTTAAACTCAAAAGCATATGGAAGTGATTATTGATAAATCAAAATAAATTAAGAAAAAAAAAAAAAGAAGACAGAGACCTGTAGAAGGTGCTGAGGCTGGCAAGTGAGGGACTGGCCGTGGGTAATTGCAGCAGTGGGGGAGACAGAAATGAACGAGATGAATATTTTCCGTAAAGGAAGAGACTCCATCCTGTGCCGAGGAGGAAGTGGAACAGGGTGGGGGGGGGGGGGGCCCTCGGCTTGAGGAAACAGTTGGTGCAGGCTCACCCTCATTGAGATGAGAAAACAGGAATTTGTAGGAGACCTAGAGTCCAAATCATTGTGTAACTAATTTCCTGCACTGATCAGCAGCTTGAGAGCTGTGCAGCAGCCAGATGGCGAGTGGGACCCAAGGCTCAGGCGTGACTGGCATGAACATCCCATGGACAAAGGGCCAAGGGAAGACAATGCATATACTTGGAACTGGAGAGCTCTGGTATCTGCTGTGAAGGGGAGGCCAGAACAGGCACACTGGCCTAAAAGGGAGTGAGGAGGAAGACAGACTTAGGCTTGAGGTGGACAGAAAGAAGGTAGAAGATTATCATCAGAGAATTTCCGAGTTCACCATTATAAAGGTCTAAGGGTTTGGGCGAGTCAGGGATGAGACTGAGCCTGGACTCAGGCCTCAGTTTTGTCGAGGATCAGGGCTCTGTGTCAGAGCGGGGTCATGGTTCATTGTGGGACCAGGATCAGAGGTAAGGTTTGATGTGGGGTGAAGGCTCAATCTGGGATGAGGGTTGGGGCGTCTAGGCCAGGCCTCACTAGGGTCAGTTCTAAACTCCCAAACCAAACCTCGGAGCTGAGTCAGGTATCATTCTGGGGTTTGGCCTCAGTCCAGGGCAAAGGTCAGGGAATGTCCGAGGGGAGGTCTGGCCTCAAGTCTGCTGCCAGGGCTGAGCCTGGGGCCCAGATCAGGCTTTATGTGGCGTTGGGAGATTCTTATACTTAGGATTGAAAATTCAATTTCCATAATACGAGCCCCTTATGACCATCACCAAGGTCAACAAGAGTCAATAGTGTGACATAGTAACCAAAAAAGGAAGTATAAGCATAGAAAAGCAGAATGTGTGTGTGTGTGTGTCCGGGGGGTGGGGGGGTGACAGGCCCCAGGGGAGGACTGGCTACACTTCTGGGCACCACCTTCTGGGGTAGCTATTGAGGAAGCTGGAGAAAATGCAGAGGACAACCAGGAGGGTGACAAGCCACAAGGTCATGCCATGAGGACCAGCTGAAGGAGGTGCAGACTGGGGTGGGGGGAACAAGGTGGGAGACCTTATTCTGCTTGAACCAAAGGGCAGAATGAGGAGCAGGGTTCAGGGTGCTTGCAAAGGCACAGATTTAGGCCAGCCATAGGGCAAGACTTGCCAACAATGAGAGCTGGCCCAATGTGAATGGAGTCTCACTGGGAGTCTTCAAGCAGAAGTGAGAATACTTGGCAGGTACATTGGACTAGATGCCTTGAATACGGGGTGTCAGGGCTCAGCTGAGGATCAGCTCTCCATCGGAGGTGAGAGGATTGGGTCAGAGCTTAGTCTGAGGCCCTAGTCGGATCTACTTGTGAGGCAGGTAAGGGCTAGAAGCAGGGTGAAGGTTGGTGCCCAGTATTGGGTCAGAGCACTGTCCAGGGTGTGGAGTAGGGCTCAGTTTGAGACCAGGACTTTGTATGGTGGTGGTAGAGACAGGGGCCTCCTCTGAGGTTGGGCTCAAGCCTTTTTCTGTGACTGGGATTCAGTCGAAGACCATGTTCAGGCTTTCCTTAGGCCTCAGGTTTCAGTTGGGGCACAGGTGAGGCCTCGTTCGAGGACTAGGGTTGGCCAGCAGTTAGGGCTTAAGGGAACTGTCTGGTACCAGGTCAGTCTGGGTTTGAGGTCTAATACATTCAAGCCTCAGGACGAGGCTAAGTTCAAGGCTCAGTGCACAGATCAGTACTAAGTGGTATAAGAGATAGCACCCTAGGCTGAGAGTCAGGAGGACCTGAGTTCAAATCTGACCTCAGACACCTATTAGCTGTTTGACCCTGGGCAAGTCATTTCCCCTTTGTCTTAACCCACTTTTCTTATCTGTAAATCGGGGACAATAGGGCCTCCCTCCCAGGGTTGTTGTGAGGGTCAAATGTGAGAATAATTGTAAAGCACTTATGTGCCTGGAACATAGTAAGCGCTATGTAAATGTTAGCTACCACATCTATATGTAGGGATGTGTGTGTGTGTGTATGTGTATAAAAATATGTGTGTATGCATATGATCACACCCAGAAGTGCCACCGCCTCCCCCTCAAACTTCACCACCACCACACCTTGGTGAAGGGGGGAGAAGAATTCAAAGCAACATTCCAGGGATCGCCCATCCCACCAGATCCCAGGTCCTTGGTATAAAAGAGAAACCCTCAGCGGGCTACCCAGTGAGAAGGGAAGACCCTTGGCCACGAGCATCTGAAGGACCTCGTGTGATGGATGCCTTGCTCACAAAGTTGCTGTCTGGAGTGGTAGCTCGGAGCCCAAGGATGGCCTGTGGGGGCTGGGTCCCTCACCAGGGAGTCTATTCCAGTGAGCCCGGGGCCGCAGGTCAGCGGCCTGTCTCTGCCACCAGAAGGAAACCTTGGCCCGACTTTCACTCCCAATCACCAAGCCCAGGCTTGAAAAGCGAGAGGACAGCTCCTGACCACACCCCTGAGAGCCAGGATAAGCTGTCTGCCCTTCTTCTGATCAAAGGAGTGGACCTTGTCTTTCCACGGTCAAAGCCGCTCCTTCTCCTATCCAGTATTTCCTGGACAGCAGCTGACCTTCTCTCCTTTCCTGGAAGTCAAGGCAGGGACGTCACCCCCTCCTATTGGGGGGGGGGGGGAGAGACATTCTTCTACCGCCGGTTGTTACCCTATAATTTCTTTTGGTTTGGCTTGGGGGTTTTTGTCAATGTGTGAGGCGTTTTAAAAGGAAAAAAAAAAGGAAAAAGCAAAGGGAGCTCCTAGCTGCTCGCCTCTGGGGTGAGTGGCTGGAAGGGGCCAAAGAAAGGGAATCTCGGGTTGGATCTTCCTCCTTTCCACTCCGCAAATCTGGGCCTCGGGGCACCTGAAAATAAAGAAACGCCCCTCCCCCACCTTCTACCTCCCTGCATTAAAATGGCCCTAGAAGTCGAGTTCCGGAGCAGGTGGGCTTAGGCAGCCAGGGGGCACCACAGTGCGCAGAGCGCTGAGCCTGGGGTCAGAAAGACCAGAATTCAAATGTGACCTCAGGCACTTCCTAGCTGAGTGACCCTGGGTAAGTCACTTCACCTGTGCCTGCCTCGGTTTCCTCATCTGTAAAATGGGGAGAAAAACAACACCTATCTCTCAGGGTCGTCGGGAGGATCAAATGAGATCGTATTTGCAAAAGGGCTTAGCACAGTGCCTGGAGCATAGTAGGTGCTTAATAAATGTTTATCCCCTTCCCTTCCCCCCTATCCCGCTCCGGCCCATCCAGGGACCCACAATCCTCCTTTGAAATAAAGCAGTCTTTTAAGTCCCTGGGAAAGAAAGAGTCATGGCTTCTGGGGACCTGGGGAGAGGACCACGGGGGTGGAGAGGCCGTCCATGCTGAGTGTGGGGACAGACACATGTGCCTGGGAGCTGCTGCTGCTGCTGCTGCTGCTGGCCGGAAACTGGGAGGAGAGAGAGACAGAGAGACAGAGACAAGAGAGAGGAGAGTGAAAGAAAGAGTGAGTGTGAGAGAATGAGACAGACGAGTGAGAGAATGAGAATGAGTAAAGACTGAGAGAGCCCGGAGATGAGGAGAGACGGACGGACGGACGGACGGACGGACGGACGGACGGACGGACGGACACAGACGCACGCACGGACGGACGGACGGACACAGACGCACGCACGCACGGACGGACGGACGGACGGACAGACCAGAGCCCACCAGAGGAAGCCGTGAGGAACAGACACACATGGACCTGGGTGGGGAGAAGTCGAGAAGACGAGAATTGACACGCCCCTCCAGGGGCCGCACCTGGAAGGAGAGGCGGGCAGGGCTGCGGGGCGCGATGGGGCTCAGAGTGCTCCAGAAGTGGATGCTGGGGGGCAGCGCACTGGGCGTCAGGAGCACCGGGGTCTGCGGTGGACGGGAGGAGGGCAAGGGACGCTGGAGCAAGGCCGCTTAAGCCCCGCCCCCGCCCCGCCCCCCGCCCCCCGCCCGGCGGCTTCTCCGGCTTACCAGGGCGTGGGAGGTGAGCAGGGAAGGCGTGAGTGCCGGGCCGAGGCCGGAAACCGCGGCCGGCTCGGGGCTCGGCCCCAGCGGCAACTCCAAATCCCGGGGTTTGCGCCCCTTCGAGGGGGCCGGCGCGGGGGCGGGGCCCGGCGACTCGACGGCAGCCCCCTCCTCCGGAGGCCGCTCCCCCTCCGTCTCGGACGGAAGAAGCGGAGATGCGGCCTCGGCCGGAGCCTCGGGCTCCCCGGCCTCCGCAACGCCTTCGGCAGGGGCCATTAGGATGAGCTGGCGGCGGGGGAGGAGACGAAGCTCAGGACCGGCTGAGGGTCGCCCCCCCCGCCCCCCGCCCCCGCCCCCAGCGGCTCCGGAGTCAAAGCCCCCCCCTCGCTCCCCTCCCCAGACGGCGACACACAAACCCACACACGTGCCAACCTGCAACGGCATTCGGGCCTCTGGGGCCTCAAGGCTGGCTGGGCTAAGTGGCTCCGGGGCTGGCCGGGCAGGCCGCACGGGGCTTAGCTGCTGCAGGGACTGGATGGTGAAGGTGGAGTAGAGCCCAGAACGCATGTACTCGTTCCGGCTGCTGCGCGCAGGGGCGGGGGCGGAGGGCCCAATGCTCCCTAGGGAGGCCTTCAGCGGCCGCAGGGGCTCTGCGGATATCTCAGCCCGGACCTGGCCCTCCTCCCCTTCGTGGCCCGGCCCCTCCGGGAAGGACACGAATTTGTAGACGAACTTCTGCCCACTCACCTTACGGATGATGTTCTGGGGAAAGTGGGAAGTTGGGGGGCGGCGGTGTTCAGGGGTAGGCCCAGCCCCTCCTCCCCCACCCCACAAAACCCCTCTCCCCGTGAGCGGGCCTCCCCAGGGTAAGCCGGGGGCCCCCTGAGCCAGGCCAGGCCAGGCCAGGCCAGGCCGGGGGAAGCACACCTTGTCGTAGTAGTATCGAAGCGCCCTGCTCAGCTTGTCGTAGTTCATGTTGGTCTTATTCTTTCGCAGCCCCCAGAGCCGTGCCACTTCCTCTGCGTCTACCAGCTTGAATTCCCCGTCACTAGATGTCCATGCTATTAGGTGCCCATTACTCTGCTCCTTCAGCAGCTGCAGCAGGAACTGCCACAGGGTCACGGATGGGTCCATCACTCCAGACACGAGGTCACAGGCCGGCCAGCTGGTTGTCGCGAAGGTGGGAAGAGAGAGAGGGCTACGGATGGCTCCATCACAACAAGGAGGCAAAGTGTAGGGGGAGCTGTGGGTGACTAGCCGTTCCATGACTCCAAAGGGAGGAAGAGGGGCATGAAGACACGGGGGAAGACACAGAATGTGGATATGGGGGTGAGATTATGTCTTGGAGCACGGACATGGGGATGAAACTAGGGCTATCCTGGTAGGGAGGGGACATGGGGAATGGGTACAGGATCGGGGCTTGACCCCTTATTGCAGGTGGCACAAATGGAGCCATTAATTTGAGGGGTACGAGGAAAGTACAGTCATGAGTTACGCTTATTACTGTGGGTGGACAGCACGGCCCACAAAGTCACAGAGAGCCAACGCGGCAGGAAGAAGACTTGGAGGATAGTCATCGAATGTTGAAGTTACGGCAGAACAGGACCACGTAACCTGGTCCATCACTGCGAGAGGGGGCGGGGCGCATGGCACCATTACTGCAGAAAGGGCAACGTGAAGGACAGGATGTCTGGGGCGGCCTATTAGCATACAGGGGCAGGCGCCATGCAGAGGGACTACAGGATAGGGACAGAGGAGGTGGGTCCGTAACTCCTAGGGAAGAAAAGACGCAGCTACAGCCATTGATGCCTACGGGTCGCATGGAAGGCCACAAGTGGGTCCGTTCTCGGGCTATTAAAGGCGCTGGGGGGGGGGGGGGCCCTCCAGGCCAGCCCTGTCTCCCTCCCCGCACAAATCACGCCCCCCTCCCCCAAAAAAATACAGAGAAGGCTCGCCCTTCGCCTGCAGAAGATGCCCTCCCGATTCCCAGGCTGTCCCTGCCTCACCTGTGAGCAACCCGATGGCAGCTCCGGGGAGCGGGGGCTCCATGGGGGAGTCCCAGCCCGGTAGCAGCCACCCTCCCGCCCCTAGCTCCTCCTTCTTCTGCTGACACCGATCCCCGGCCCCCGGCCACTCTGTAGCCTGTTATCCAGGCCCGGCCTGGCTTACAGCCCCCCCCCCCCCCCCCCCCCCCCCCCCCCCCCCCCCCCCC